GGCGCTAGCGGCCAGCCCGGCCGAAAGCACCTCCCAGCCACGATGGCGCTGGCGCGGAGATTGACCGCGGCGTGCCGGCAGATGCACCGCGCCCTCCCCGCGCCACCCGCCCCGAGGCCGTCGCGCCCGGCGCGGGGCACCACGGCGGGGATGCTGAACTTTGGCCTCAGCGGGGGCGCGGAGATTGGAGGCGGCACAGCCATCTTACCCCGTCGATGGGAGGACATCGGCGCCGTGATGGGGGCCCTCGGTGCTGAATGGTTCTTTGGCATATCTTGCCGGTGCCCCCCCGAGACGGACCTCGCAACGGCCCTGCCGGGGTTTCCGTACGTGCTGCACGGGCCGCGGACGCTGCAGTTCGGCGCGGTCGTCGCCCTGATCCACCGGGAGTCCGCGGGAACGGTGGCGCACCTCCCGGATTGGTCCACGGGGGCCGGCACCTGCTGGGTGCAGGCGGGGCCAGACGAGTACTGGTGCGGGTTCAGCATCCCGCCCCGGCAGCGCGGCGTCAACGAGGACGCCCGGGCGGAGTGCGTGGGCCGCTTGTTCAGGGAATACGACCGGGCCCAGGAGACCGCCGGCCGCCGCCACCACGGCGGACGCATCCACATGGCGGGGGACCTCAACCCGGGGAGCGACATCGAGGCCCAGGTGGTCGCGGCCATGGACCAGCGGGGCCTCCGCCACATGATCCCGGAGACGGTCGCCACCCATGTCCGCGGGCGGCGGCTGGACGTGGTGATTAGCCCGGCGACGACCAACTGCGGGGCAGTTAGCGTACACGACGGGGCCCATTGTGAGAAGCACGGCTGCAGCAGCGGCGTGTGCCGGGTGCGCGCGCTAGCGCTCGGCTCCCAGGACCTCGACCACCACCCGGTCACATGGGCGGCTGCGTCGGCGGCCGACGGCGCGGCCCCCCCGGAGAAGCAGCTCAGGTACAGCAGGAACCCCGAGGACTGGCACAGGGCACTCGCGCAGTGGGGGGACGCCATCTACGACACCCTCAGCAGCGAGCTGGCGGCCCGCACCAACGAACCCTCCTGGCTCGACGCGCCACAGCGGGACGCCAGGGCCGCGCTGGACGCGGCGGCGTGGACATGGCGGGCGACGGCCACCCTGGTCGCAGCGGCAGCCGCGCTCGCCTGGGCCCCCGCGGCGGGCGGCCGCAGCCGGCACGGCGCAGACAGGGCGGAGGCAGCAGCATTCCGGGAGGTCACCGACGCAGCCGCCCGGCACCAACGCGCTCGGGCACCCGAGACGCAGGCGGCCCTGCGGGCAGCCCAGGCGCGACTACGTGGCGAGCGGGCCGCCAGGGGCCGCGCCCAGCGGGAGGAAGCGCGGCGCCGCCTGGTCAGCCTCATGGGCGAGAACCCGCTTGCGGCGGCCACGGTCCTCAAGCAATACTCCACGGACCCCCCCGAGGGCCTCCCAGCCGTCATGCGGGACCCGGAGGACGAGAGCCGCATGTGCATCGGGACGCCGCAGGTCTTGGACGGGGCCCGCAGATACATTCTTAGGCGCGACACCCCCCCGTGGGGCCAGGAGTGGGACGCCGACCACGCGGCCGCGATGCGAGGCCGCCTGGAACGCCAGCGCTCGGAGGCCCTCCGCGCCCTGGGTCACTGGGAGGTGGCGGAGGCTTTCACGCTCGCTGACGCCGGCGCAGCCCTACGGAGGATCCGGGTCGGGGCCCAGTGCCGCGGCTTGCCCTACGCCCTCCTCCACAGTGCGCACCTGGGCGCCGTGCAGGCACTGCTGGGCCTGTCCAGCCTCAGTTTCCGCCTGGGCCAGGTCCCCGCCCTCTGGCTCCTACAGGACAACTACCACAAGCGCAAGGAGGGCCGGCCCCACGTGGACTACAGCGGCTATAGGGTCCTCGCGCTGTGTTCCGCGGAGGGCCGCCTCCTGGAGGAGCTGTGGGCCGGGCGCAACCGCCAGGCGATGGAGCGGGGGCTCGGCGAACTCCAAGAAGCGGGGGGCGACAGCCTGGTCTCCAGCCTCCTGGACCTGGAGGTCTCCGCCATCTGTGTCCACCAGGGGAGGCCGATCGCGGAAGTGTTCGCAGACGAAGCGGAGGCCTTCGACAGCCAGGACCGCACGGAGGCCATGGTAGCCATGCACGACCGGGCGGGAGTGGCCGGGAGACAGTGGCTCATAGCCGAGGCGATGCTCCGAGGCACTACCGTCTCGGTCACGGGGCGAGGTGAGCGAACGCGGCCGTTCAGGCCGCGGGTCGGCATGCCCGAAGGCAGAGCGCTAAGCCCGGCCCAGTACAGCCTCGCCAACGCGGCCAAGATCGAGGAGGTCGCGGCCACGCCCGGCGTGGGCCTTGGCCTGGACCCGCCACCGGCGGCGCTGGCGGCATACCGGGTGCACCGCGACGGCGCGGACGCAGAGACCTTGGACGTCCAGGAGATCGACCAGTGGGCAGCCCTTATCACGGACGGGCATGCAGGCTGGGACGCCTGCATGGCGGGCGCGTCCACAGACGCGGTCCGGCTGGGCCTCCTCGATCATTTCTCCCAGAAGCGGATCGGGCCGCGGGCATATGTGGACGATGTCCGAGCCAAGGCCGGGTCGAGGGCGCAGTGTGGCCTCGTTGTCCAGGCGCTCCAGAGCGCCGCGCGGCGCCACCGAGGCCACCTCCGGTACGGGCCGACGAAGACGGCCATCCTCGCCAGGGGGCTACCAGACACGCGGCCTATTCACGGGGTCGGGTTCGTGGACGAGTACAGGTGCCTCGGCGTCCAGCGATCGGCCGCACCACCCGGGCAGGCGCACCTCCGGGCAATCGAGCGGCAGGCGCTCGGAGTCGGGCGGAAGCACACCATGATCATGGAGAACCTCGGCTTCGCGCTCCACGAGCTGAGCCTAGGCCTGACTGCCAGCACGCTCCCGAAGGTGGCGCATGGAGCCGAGCTGTGCGCCCGCGCGGAGGGGTTCGCGACGACCCTAAATCGCCTCCAAGAGCGGTGGGGCCGAGATGCTCTGGGTGTTCGCGGGCCCATCCCGCGCGTCCTCATTCTCCACCATATGGGATGGGCGCTCCGATGGTCCACGATGATGGAGGAGCGCGCGATCCGCCTGTACGGCCGAGTGCTCGCGGACCCCAGGTACGTGGAGGCCCGGGAGGTCCTCGCGCTCGCGGAGCAGGCCGCGGGCTCCTGGGTGCAGCACGTCCGGCAGCTGCTTGTCCGGTGGCACCTCCCGGACCCGCCCGGGCCCCAAGCGGGGGTCGGGGCCCGCGCGCAGTACCGCCGCCAGGTCCGAGCGGCGGCGCACGCGCAGGAGCACTCTTGGCGCGCGGACCCTGCCCAGCGGGACGCGCTGGCGCGCGCGGCGGGAGCGGGCCCCACGGCGCTCCAGCATAGTGCGGCTGGCGCCTCGCTCCCTGAGGTCCGCGCGTGGGCGCGCCTGTGCCTCCAGGGCGCGCTCGTGCGGGACGCCGTGGGGACGGTGCCGCCCTGCCGGTTCTGCGGCCAATCCCAGGAGACGACGACCCACCTCTTGGGGTTCTGCAGCCGAGCCGCAGCGGCGCTCGGGCGCCAACCCCAGCCCCAGACACCGGCCGCGGCGGCGGGCCTTACGCCCAGGGAGGCACACCTCCTCGAGACGGCGGCTCCCCGGCGGCCCCGGGGCGTCTGAGCGGGCAGGCGACGCTGGCCGTGGCCCCCTGGGCGCCGCTCCGCTGCGGTGCGCCGTGGTCGCGCAGGCCGTGGCGCAGATCGGCAGCGCGAGGAACTAAGCCGGAGCGGAAGGGCGCGGGCCCGAGGAACCCCCTGGGCCCCGTTCTGGCCCCTGCGCCCAGGGCCCTGGGTCCCCCTTTGGGGGCCTTCCCCCGGCCCGTCGCCCCTCGGCCCTGTCGCCCCCCGGCCCTCCCTTAGGTGCGCCCTCCCCTCCCCTCCCTCCTCTCCCTCGCCTTCGCCTCCCCCCCCCTGCTCTCCCCTCCCGCGGCCCCCGGGCCCTGCGCTTCCCCCGTTCCTTGTTCGTCCGGCCCCCGCCCCCGTTGCGGTTCGTTGGCCCATCTGGAAACGGTCCAATCGTCGCCCTTCCGCACCGGGCCGAGTACCCACCGGCAGCAACCCAGCCTCCCCCGGCGGGGCTGCCGGGGGTCCTGCCCGCGCGGCACTCCGCCATGACCTGGGGGGGCCGTCGGGCAACCCCTCCCTGGGGGGCCCAAGGTGGGGCGCCCCCCGCTCAGGCGTCGGGCGCTAGCCGACTGGCCCCCGGCCCCGAGGGAGGGGGGGTCCGTGGGCATAGCCCACGATGTTTGAGGGCCGCGCCGCGGGGCCCGGCCGGCCGCGCCGCCCGACCCGAGGGCGCGCGTGAAGCGGTCGGAAGGAAGGAAGGAAGGAGGAGGAGGAGGAGGAGGAGGAGGAGGAGGAGGAGGAGGAGGAGAGGAGGAGGAGGAGGAGGAGGAGGAGGAGGAGGAGGAGGAGGGGCCTAGCGGGAGGTGCAGGGACAAACGGTAGGGGTGCGGATGAAGGAGAGACAAGAGAAGCATGGAATGTGGGAGCGAGGGGCAGGACGTGAAGGAATGCGGAGGAGGCGCCACGCGAGAGCATAATCTTGAGAAGGAGCCAACCTCCGTCCATGCGTGTAGCTGTTGCGGAATTTTCGAAGCAACCCGTCCTCTATCTTTCTATGTGTTGCAGAGTTCTCAGACGAACATGCGCGACAATTGAGCGAAAACTTCACTTCAGGGTCGTAAGTGGTGACGCGGTCTTTGGCGACACGCACCGCCCCCCTCCCGATAACTTTGGTGGCGCGACCAGGGGAAACTAGGGTACAACGAGATGGAGGAGGTGGTGGTGATGGTGGTGGTGGAGGAGGATGAGGAGGGGGAGGAGAGGGAGTAGGAGGAGGGGGGGATGAAGGAACAGGAGGAGGAGGAGGGAGGAGACGGACGAGAGGGTGGAGGAGCAGGAAGACGAGCACGAGAGGGACTCGGAGGACAAGGAGGAGGATAACGATGAGGACCCAGAGCCAATGCCGCAGAGGCGAGACGCCCTTCCTGCTGGCTGTGCAGGAGGCCCTGGCCGTACGCGCTGCCCTCGGTAGCCTGGCGATCGACGCCCGCCTCGGCCTGTCGGCCCGCCCCGCTGACCCCCAGGTGCTGGCCAGCTGCCAACGAGAAACGGGGAGGCGGGGGAGTGCGGCCAAGGACGCGGACCCTGGGCCGAGTGAGGCAAAGAGAAAGAGAAGAGAGGAGCAGAGGGTGGACACACAGAAGAGAGGGAAGAGACGGCAGAGGGAGCAGCGCGCGGAGCAGGGCAGAGGAGGGGAGCCGCCGTGATCGACGTTTGAGGCTTTGTCGTTGCCTGCTTGCTTTTCCTCGTTCTTGGGCTCCCCAGAGGCTCCTCGTTGCCGCGGCTGGATTCCCTCCGAAGGTCTGGTCAGAGCGCGCCCCCGGAGACGCCCAGCGGACGATTTTAGATAGGAGATGAGGAGGAGGAGGAGGAGGAGGAGGAGGAGGAGGAGGAGGAGGAGGAGGGAAGGAGGAGGGAGGAGGAGGAGGAGGAGGAGGAGGAGGAGGAGGAGGAGGAAGGAGCAGCAGGAGGAGGAGGAGGAGGGGTTGCGGCACTCATGCCGATGGTGCCACGTGCTTAGGAGGAGGAGGAGGAGGAGGAGGAGGAGGAGGAGGAGGAGGAGGAGGAGGAGGAGGAGGAGAGGCAGTCGGAGGAGGAGGAGGTGGAGGAGGAGGAGGAGGAGGAGGATCGAATGTGTGTTGTGCCATTTTCTGCCCCTGGGGGCCATGGGGGCCGGTTTCGTGCCCCCAGGGTGGGCAGATGTCGAATGATTCAGGGTGAAAACTTGGCTGGGACGGACCCTGGGAGGGGCCAGGGGATCGACCTTGATGTGTGGATTCGGGATCCCTTAGACGGGGGTCAATGCAAGCGGCGGTCAGCCAGAGCGCCGGATTTTGCAGGATCCTGCAGGGCCAGGGTCGAATTGTCCGGGGCTAGCGCGCAGGACCCTGCAGGGTCCTGCAGGCTCTTGCAGGATCTTGCGAAGCCCGACTGACCGGGGTTTGGATTGACCCCGGTCAGTGCGTCCACGATGGATGGAGAGTTGCGCAAGTTGTTCGGTGCAAGGGACGTTTCGCGCACCTGCTGGAGCGCTTAGTCAAATGCCTGCGGTGGGTTCGTGTCGTGTCGACCCCAGCGCGGTCGTTCAATGTAGAACGCCGCCAGTGGCCCAGAATCGGCCGATATCAAACGATCCTGCGCGATCGGGGAGCTGCGATCTCGGTCACCATCGAACGATCCGCGCGATGCCAGAAGCCACACTGCGCAGGCCGTCACGACACGAGCCCGCCGAGCGTGGGACAGCGTGCGTCCGTGCAGTGTGATGCCAACGGCGACCCCAAGCCCTCCCGCCCCCCGGCCTCCACCGTGCGCTTCGGAGCCCCCTTCCCGTCACTTGTTGGGAAGGCGGGGTGCCCCCTTCCCTGGCTGTGGCGGAGGTGGCTCCGCTGCGCCACCCGCCAGTTGGGGGGGGGGATGCACGACGGTGAGCGTCCCTCGAGGGGAGGACCCTCGACTGACTACACGTGAGAGCGACCCTTCGCGGGAGTGACCTTTGGTGCGGGCCCACCTGGGGCCCCCCGATTGCGGAACGCCATGCGGTACTACCGTCTTGCGCGCTCGTGCTTGCCCCCCGCGGCCCCCGAGAGGCCGCGTACCGCAGGTCATTCTTGCCCAGGGTCACTCTTGCGCGTAGCCCAGGCCCGTGCATCCGACAGAGGGCAATACATCACCGCCCAACCGCCCCAACCCAACCCGAACGCCCCGATTTGCCCTCCATTTCCATTTCCGGCGGGAAGGGGGGGTCGGACAACATGGGAAAAAGAACACATCTGAGGCGCGTACCCCCCCCCAAACCCGAAGTTCGGGTCTTCGGGTTGGGCTGGGCTGGCAGGTAAGCCCACACCGAGACGACCCCGCGGTCCACGCGAGCAGCCCGCGAGCAGCCCGGCTCGGCGCCGCCGGGCCCCGCCACCGGACCCAGGCACCGCCGAGCGCCCCGCACTCGCCGCGCGAGGCCGGCAGGCCGGCAGGCCGGCGGTCGGAGGCGCGCAGGCCGCGCGGGGTCGCGGCCGCCTGCGCTAGCGCCGAGGCGCCTCGACTGCAGCTGCACACCGGAGCCGCCCGCGCAGTCTGGCGACGGAGGTGCCCGGCATTCCCTGCGATGCTGGCGACGCAAGTCTTTCCAGCCGGGCGGGTTCGCCTTCGGTCGGGTCCCGGGGGCCCTCGCAGGTCGATGCGGCTCGAAGAGTGCAGCAGGAGGACGGGGTCCCGGGCTCCGGGCGCGGATTTGCACGATGTTGCAGTTTTGTCGCTATACGTCGGATCTCAGGGTTCACACCACAGTCACGCTGCGTACGAGTGTGTTCTCGGCAAGCCCGCCTGTATCCGAGGCTGTGCCTCCTCTCGGCCTCGCTCTGAGGCTCCGCCGCCTCCTCCCTCCTCTTCTCTGCCCGATTCAAGCTTCGCGCGGCCCCGCGGAGCTTCGACCGGAAGAGGCGCGCTCTCGACCCGCGGATCAAAAAAGTGTGTTCTCGGCGAGCTGCTCGCGCAGCAAAGGGGAGGCCGTCCCCCACGGGGGCGTGTCCGCGCGGCACCGCGCCCCGCGGCAGCGGCACGGCGCCCGCGCGAGCCGGGGGGGCCTGGCCTCGGGCGCCTCGGGCAGCCCGGCTCGGCGCCGGCGGGCGGGGCCACGGGCCCATCGCTGGCGCGCCGAGCGTGAAGTCGGGCCTGTCCCTCGACAGGAGGAAGGGTCGAACATAGCCCAACCAACCATTTACGGGGACGATGTGTGGCATATTTCTGCATCTTCTTGGATTGCTTTTGGGTTTTTTTTTCATTTTTCGTTCGAGATCCGCCCGGGGGAGGACCCGGCAGACCCAAGCCGAGCGAGCCTTCGCCGGACGAGGCCGGGCGGCACAGGGCGCGGGCGGGGGCCGGCGGTCAGCAGAGGCGTGCAGGCGCCGTGCGGGGGCGCGGCCGCCTGCAGCATCGAGCGTTGCACTGCCCCTGAAATCCTAAGAGCCTTGCCTCCTCCATCCTCCTCCCTCCGCCCTCCTCCATCCTCCTCCTCCTCCTCCTCCTCCTCCTCCTCCTCCTCCTCCTCCTCCTCCTCCCTCCTCCTCCTCCATCCCTCCTCCTCCTCCTCCTCCTCCTCCATCCTCCCTCCATCCTGCTCCTCCCTCCTCCATCCTCCTCCTCCTCCTCCTCCTCCTCCTTCTCCGCCTTCCTCCTCCTCCTCCTCCTCCTCCTCCTCCTCCTCCTCCTCCTCCTCCTCCTCCTCTCCCTCCTCCCTCTCCTCCTCGTCCTCCTCCTCCTCCTCCTCCTCCTCCTTCTCCTCCGCCCTCCTCCTCCCTCCTCCTCCTTCTCCTCCTCCTCTTCTTCCCAGTGCCAGGGGGCCTGGATGTCGACGGGCCGCAATTCCCTGAGATCCTGGCCGCGCTCAAGTTCCTTCCAGCGGGGCGCTTTCGCCTCGTGTCGGGTCCCGCGGGGACCCTCGCAGATCGATCCGGCTCGAGGAGCGACGCAGAAAGCTGGGGTCCGGGGCTCTCGGCGCGGATTTTTGCACGGTGCTGCAGCTTTTCTGCGCCGCCTCGGCTCCCAGGCCCAGAGATCCGACGTCGTGATTTTTTCAATACGGGGTGCCCAGGAGTCTCGACCCATTTCCCGGGACCGGCTTCTCATCCTGAGTCGTTTTTTGACGGTCCCGGGGCCCGGCGAGGGCCCCTCGTCGAGGGGCCCTCGAGGGGCCTTCGAGGGGCCCTCGAGGCCGAAACATACGAAACATCTCCGTCTTGATTTTTCCAATGCGTTGGACCTCTGGGGACGTGCGCGAGAGGAGGCGGGGCAAGCGCGGAGGCGAACAGTGCGCGAGGAGCTCCCGGCCCGCACGCACGCGCACGCGCCCGCGCCGCGCGCGTGCGCCCTCGCCGCGCCGCGCCCCCCGTCGTGCCATCGCGCCGCCCCCCTGCCGCTCGGGCGTCGAGGTGCGGGGAGGGCGGGCTCGAGCTCTAAGTCGGGCCTGTCCCCCTCACAGGGGGATTCTCGACGGAAAAAGAGATACCATCAAAATGATGTAGAAATAGTCCCAAAATAGTCTTGGGACTATTTTTTTTGAGTATGTTTTGTTTTTTTGTTGGGGTATTTTGGGGGTATTTCTATTTTTGGTCAAAAAGCCTCCTTTGGGGGGACGCGCCCGACTTCACTCGAGCTCCAGGTTCCCTGCCGTCGCGCCTGCGGGGCGGCCGCGCCTGCGGGCCGGAGGGTGTCCAGGGCGGGGCGCCCCTGGCTGCCCGCCAGGAGGGACGGAGAGCAGCGGGGGGAGCGCAAGGCCGTGGCCAGGCTGAAGTCGGGCACGTCCCTCCACAGGAGGGAGATCAGAAAGGATAGTCAGCACACAGCTCGGGGGCGAGCTGTCGCTATATTGTTTGGGCCATGTCTCAACATTTTGGGGCTATTTTCTGTGCTTCGTCCGAAAGCCGCCTGTAGGAGGGCACGCCCGACTCAGTGGCCAGGCAGGCCCAGCCTCAGGATGATAGCATCGCTCCAGGCGGCGCTCGACAAGGCCTCCTCGTCCTCCTCCTCCTCCTCCTCCTCCTCCTCCTCCTCATCCTCCTCCTCTTCCTCCTCCTCCTCCTCCTCCTCCTCCTCATTCCTCCTCCTCCTCCTCCTCATTCCTCCAGCCTCAGGGAGCGCTCCAGGGAAGATGCGGCCGTGCGGTGGCGCCCGGTGGCGTCCTTCGGGTCCGCTGCAGGTTCTCCAACATCCCTGACCTTCCAGGAGGGCAAAAAAAAAATAGCACCAGGACCTCGATATCCTAATTCCTGTCAAGGTTTTAGGCGGCCCAGAGAGGTCTATGGGTCTGGAGGGCTATCTCTTAGCACTCTGGAAGATCAGGGATATTCCGAGTCCTGAGGCGTATTCCTCGGCGTAAGCGACGCCCCCGGCGACGGCCATCAAACATCTGTCGTTGTCCTTCTTCTTCCTCTGCTCCCCTCGCATCATCAGTTCCCTCCGCCTCCACACCTTTCCACCCAAGTTCGTTGTGATGCGAAGCGGAGGGCTCGAGCCAAACCGATGCCGATGTTGCACTGATCCTCGGGACGCGCCACCAATATTCGAAGTCGTGGATCCCTTGCTGTCTGCGAGGGTTCGCGGCAGCGGGCGGGAGGCAACGGTGGATCGCCGAGGCGCCGCGTAGCGGTCGACCTCAGCAAGCCGCGGCGCGCCGAAGCCGGGCTGCAGGAATGCACGCAACGCGGGCGGAGCAGCGTCTGTTGATGGAGAGTGGGCCGACTAATTAGTAGTCCCGCGCGAACGCGACCTTTTTGGCCTTGGGCTGAGCAGACACAAGTAGTTGGTTTCTGGTTTCCGGCGAGACCCTATCCTGGTTGCAATGGGCACTCTTGCATGCGTGACCCAGGCCACAGCCACAGAACAGATGCTACGAACCGACATGGCATGGCGTTGGTGAATATAATATAGAGGAATCCTGCGTCTCCATGTCCAACATGGGCAGTCGTGTGCTCCTGGGCCGGGGATAGACTATCACGCAGCCAGGGCCCTCAGATGATGCTACAAACGCTGTTGGTGTTGTCACTCCGTCTTCAAGATCGGCGTCTTCTTCTAGTTCTGGGCACCGTGTCCCCAGACCCCCGACGTCATGATTTTTTCATGACGCGACCCCCAGAGGCCTGGACCCCTTCCCCGGGACTGGTTTTTCGTTCTGAGCCGTTTTTGGACGGTCCCGAGGCCTGGTAAAGGCCCCTGGAGGCCGAAAATAGCGAAAAACCTCGGGTCGTGTTTTTTTCACAGCGCGAGGGGGTCTGGGTCTGTTACGGTTTCAGGTCCGGGACCGACCCGTGGCCCACTTGCTCGTTTTCCTCCCGCTGTTCCCTGCGTCTTCCATGCGCTCTTGGGCATCACGGTGCCGACTGCCTGACGTCCACCTTCGGGGTGCCGTTCTTCACCCGTTTTTTGCCCTGACCTTCCAGAGTGCTAAAACATAGCCCTCCAGACCTATAGACCTATCTGGGCTGCCTAAAACCTCGACAGGAATTAGGATATCGAGGTCCTGGTGCTATTTTTTAGCCCTCCTGGAAGGCCAGGGTGGTCGGGCCACCAGCGAAAAGTGGAGAGTAAAAACACAAAAAAAAGACGCGCCCTGCGTTTTTAGGAGCAGCGAAGCGACCCCCAGAGGTCCGGACCCATTCCCCAGGACCGGCTTGTCACCCTGAGTCACGCGTTTGACCATCCCGAGGCCCAGTGAGGGCCCCCAGGGGCCGCAAACATCGAAACACCTCCCGTCGTGATTCTTGTCACAACCCGAGACCCCCTCGCGTCGAGAAAAAATCACGACGGGAGGTTTCTCGCTATTTCGGCCTCCTGGCGGCCCTTTCCGGGCCTCGGGACCGTCAAAAAACGACTCAGGACCCGAACAACTGGTCCCGGGGAAGGGGTCCAGACCTCTGGGGGTCGACGTTGTGAAAGAATCGCGACGTCGGGGGTCTGGGACGCCACGCGAGGGGGTCCGGGAGCCAGGACCCCCCCCGACTCCGGATCCGCCCTACTTTGGGTAAATTCGTAAGTAGGGCTTGGAATTTCCGCCTTACTTTTCAAGCCCCGCTGATGCCAATTTCCGCCCTACTTTTCTGTTGTTGTTTCCGCCCTACTTCTGTGGATTTTCGCTGTATTGTATGCTGGGTGCAGAAATTTCCGCCCTACTTGTTCGGCTTCTTACGAGTGGATTTCCGACGCAATTTTAGGTTGGAAAAAAAGCCAAAGCAGAGCGGATCTGGAGTCAGGGCCCCCCCCCTTGAGAACTCCCCGAGGCACGGGCCGCGAGGGCCTGCTGCGGGCGCTCCTGGAGGCGGGCGCCCCGGGCGCGGCGGCGGCCGGCGGCGTGCTGGAGGCCAGCAGCGGCCGGCTTGCTCGGAAGGAGGAGGAGGAGGAGGAGGAGGAGGAGGAGGAGGAGGAGGAGGAGGAAAAGGAGGAGGAGGAGGAGGAGGAGGAGGAGCCCCAGACACGCTTTTGGCGCTTTCTCAAGGAGCGCCTCTCCCGGCCCCCGCCTCCCCAGGCCCCCATCCATTCATGAACAAATCGCGACGGAAGGTCTTTCGCTATTTTCGGACTTGGGTGCCCTCACCGGGCCTCGGTCCCGGGGAAGGGGTCCGGAGCTCTCCCGACATGCCCGCGTCGCAACAGGAAGTCACGACGGGAGGGTCTTGGCTGTCTTCGAGCTCTGGGGCCCCCCCCCCCAGGGGCCCCTCACTCTCTTGCCTTTCCTCCCCAGACACGTCCGCGTCGCAACAGGAAATCACGACGGGAGGGTCTTGGCTGTTTTCGAGCTCTGGGGGCCCCCCCGGGGGCCCCGCACTCTCTTGCCTTTCCTCCCCAGACACGTCCGCGTCGCAACAGGAAATCACGACGGGAGGGTATTGGCTTTGGCAGTTTTCGAGCGGGGCCCCCTCCGGGCCCCGCGACCGTCCACAGAGCGACCTGCGATCAGAGAGCGGCACCAGGGAAAGGGTCGAGACTTCCGAGGGACCCCTCATTGAACCAATCAGGACATCGCATGCCTGGGTCTTGGGAAAGGAAAAGATGAGGAAGGGAAAAAACACACAGACACAATTAATCGGCGATTCCTAGAAAATATAAGAAAATATGGGAAGTGGGGGGGGAAGACAGACAACCAGAAAATATGGGAACATATGGGGAATCATTGTATTTGTGTGTATTTATTTGTGTGTCCCAGGGCCCCTTCAAAAGACTTCTCCACCCGTTCCTGCCGCCCTCCCCCTCTTGGATCGGGTCAGAGAGGGTTTCGAAGCCCGATTGCGAGAGGATGCCTCGCAAAAGCGACACACCAGGTGTACCCCACCCCCAGTTCCCATCCCCCTCCCCCCTTCGGGAACGGGGGCCAGGTGGGGGTGGGGCTGATGCTCCCCTTTCAATCCAAGGCTGGGACAAGTGCTGCCGAGTCGGCAGCGTCTCGGGAGTCCGAGGGTCAGCTTCTCGCTGAAAACGCTGCCGTTTCTTTGTCGTTCCCTTGAACCGAAGGTAGAACGGATGACCGAGTTTGGGAGTCATACATGATCACCAGCCGAGGATCCATTTTTCCTGGATCGCAGGAGGCGGTGGATATGATTGTTTTTTAGATTCGAGCTCCCTGGGGTTCAACTGTATACATGTGAGCCAGCGTGGATCCCAGGCAGCACGTTATTGCACTGGAGGCGTAAGCTAGATGTTGCAAGCTGTGTCATGTAAGCTATGCGGTGTGTGCTGGAGGTGGACGCTACGGGTTCTCAGCTATAGGCTATGTGCTGTAAGCTATGCCGTATAAGCTATGTGGTGTAGGCGGTGTTGTGTAAGCTATGCGGTGTAAGCTATGCTATGAGTGGTGTAAGCTATGTGGTGTGGGCTATGCGGTGGAAGCTATGAGATGGCAGCTTTATAGTGTGAGTCCTGCGGTGTGAGCTATGGAATCGAAATCTGTGCGGTATAAGCTATGGTGTGTAAGCTATGGCGTGTAAGCCATGCGATGTGAACTGGATGTGAAAACTAGATGGTGCAAGCTATGCGGTGCAAGTTCCATGATGTAAGCTATATTGTGTAAGCAACGCGGTGCAATCTATTTGGTGTGAGCTGTGTGGTGTCAACTATGTGGTCCGGCGACGGACGGGCGCCGCTTGGGGTCCCGGGGGGTCGGTGCCCAGGGCGGAGGATCTGTACAGCGTCTAAGTTTTGGCTTCGCGCTCGAGGACACAAACAAACGGCACGGAGAATCTTGTGGAAGTCCGCGCAGATCTTGGATGACCCAGGGCTCGGTCCAGCGCTGACTCAAGTTGGATCTGCGCTGTGCCGCCCCCTGATGGGCCGACCCGACAAACCCGTGCGGACTTCCAACAATTCAGCTTTTTGCCTGTGCCGTTTTTCGCCCTCATGTCATAAGTATGGGGTCCGTGTTGTCAGTTCGATGCCCCCACCTCGTCCCCTGTTTTTACCTCCCCCTTCCCTTTCGTAGTCAGACTCGCTCTCACTGACGCTCAACCGTACATTCAGTTATCAATACTCGGGCACACTCACACTCATAGTCAGTCACACCCACTCTCGGAATCACGCTCAGACTCGCACGTACTCATCGCCACTGGCACTCAGGCCACTCACAGAGAGATCCACCCACGCTCAGAGTCAGTTATACTCCAGCCCACTCACACACTCCTACGTGGACCCAGGCATACCCAGTCTGAAATGCACACACAACACACAACACACAACACAGAAGACACAACACACAACACACAACACACAACACACAACACACAACACACAACACACAACACACAACACACAACACACAACACACACAAGACACAAGACACAAGACACAAGACACACCACACAACACAACACACAACATACAACACACAACACACAACACACAACACACAACACACAACACACAACACACAACACGCAACACACAACACACAACACACAACACACAACACATAACACACACAACACACAACACACAACACACAACACACACAACACACAACACACAACACACACACACACACGCACACACACACACTGCGACTTGCACGTGCCCAGCCTGGCTCATACTCTGGTCCATTCGTATTCGAATTCGCGCATACACAGCAGGGGCGCTGGGCGACGATCCCCTTCCTATTCCGTGCGCGGGCACGTCCCGACCCTTCTGACTACGGCCTGGGGAGCGTGGAGCAAGGAGCTCGCGCTGCGGAAAGCACAACAGTCACACCATCTTAGAACTTTCAGGAGGGAAGCAAAAAAAAACACAGACACAATTGATCGTCGATCTCCCAGAAAATATGGGAAAATATGGGAAGTGGGGGGAAGACAAAAACCCAGAACATATGGGACAATATGGGGGATCCTTTTATTTGTGTGCATTGACTTGTGTGTCCCAGGGCCCCGTCAAACTTGGCATACTCACTCGCGCTCACGTTCGCCCCTGCCCAGGTGCACTCCGGCGTGGCGCCTGGACCTCCCAGGGAGGAGCCGGCAGGGAGGGACGACGGGTGCCGGTGCCCGTTCGTGCGGGGCGTCTCTCGGGCGAGGCGCCCCTTCTGGGAAGTGAGCGTGTCGCTTTCCCACCTCCCACCATCACCGGGATGTGGCAGGCGTAGCATACGGGCCTCCCGAGGAGAGGAGCCACCAAGAGGTGTGACACGGGCCCGTTCGCGCCCAAGTCGTGGGGGGCCTCTCTTGCGAACCGCCCGTTTTGTGACGTGGACGTGCCTCTTGTTCTTTAAAACCCGAGTCTGGGGTTAGTGATCCCTGCACTCTCAATGTAGCCGTCTTGTTATGCGTGTGCTGCCTCCGCCTCCATGTCCTCACCTCCAGTCCAGCCTCCTCCCATTCAGATCCACTCATCTGCTGTTGTTCGCCACGATCCGCTCACTCTCACATTCACTCACACTCTGTCGAATCAGACTCACTCATACACGACCTCGTTTACACTCAGACTCACTCATTGTAAGAGTCTTACTTTCGTTTGGTCCCGCCCACACTGCACAAAACTAATGAGACGGGAGAGGACACGAGGAGGAGGGTTGATGCCGGGGAGGCGAAGAGGAGGAGAAGAGGCCAGAAGGGGAAGGACACATGAGGAAGGGCATGCGAGGAGGAGAAGGGGCGATGATGGTGATGATGATGATGATGACGATGCTGATGATGATGATGATGATGAGGATGATGATGATGATGATGATGATGATGATGATGATGATGATGATGATGATGATGATGATGATGATGACGATGCTGATGTGAGCACATCGGTTATGATAGTTGAATCGTTGAAGCATGTGATCTGCAGCATTCTCGGACCGAGCCCGCCCCGCGCTGTGCGCCGGGCCCCGCGCTGTGCGCCGGGCGTGCCCGCGGTCGGTGCGTGGAGGGCCCGCAGCCAGAGCGCGGGCGGTCCACGAGTGTTCCCTGGATCCGAGGCTCTCTCAGGGGCCACTCCCAGCGGCGAGGAGGCCGCGCTGGAGGCGGCGGAGGACCCAGAGGGGGCCCCCTGGGTCGTCATCCCAGACAGTTCCCATCTCGGGCCGCCCAGAAGGGCGGCAGGTGCCGAACCTGTGGTTCGGGTCGCCCTTCTGGGCGGCCCGAACCTGTGGTTCGGGCCGCCACTTCTGCGCGATCTGGGCTGTCCCTGGTTCAAGCTAGAACCTCGTCGGGGTGCGCAGAGGAGGCACGGTCGCGTGGCAGGCGATCGTCGCCAGCTTCGGAGGCAGCAAATGCACTAGCGGGCGGGATCGCCTGCGTCGGTTTTCGCCGTTGGGCGAGGCAATCGACAAGTTCTTCGGCGAGCAGCGAGATTATTCATACACCGTCAAAGTCTTCGGCTGGGCCAGGGCACTTTGGCGATTTCGCCATCTGGGGCGCTGCAGAAGACCGGGGGCATCCTGCTCCGCTCGTTGTTGCTCGAAATTTTTATGGCCGGAGTTCGCGCGCCGACGCGGCGGCGAAATCTGAGGCCCGGTTCGTCGGCGTCACGTTCGCGCGGCGCGATGGCCCCGTCGCCGTCGACGTCTTGGTGCAAGACGACCCCGGCGAACTCTAGTTGCAAGGGCTCCTCGTCGTGGCGCTTGCCGCCCGCCTCCCTTGTGATGCTGGCTCGCTTGCCTCCGTGGACTCTGTTTCGGTGGTGCTGCGGTCGGCCCCTGGCGAGGAGGCGCCAGCGGATGTGGCCCGCATGAATGTCTCGCCAGCGCTCCGTTTCTGGCGTGTCGCACCGAGAGCTGCGCGGAAGACGAGGTGATCGAGTTCTTCGACTCAGCTGGTGGGGCTGCGCGGCCGGACCTCCTCGCGCTGGCCGATCTCGCCGGGCAGCCCGACGACTCGAACGTTGGATTCCTGCTCGGCCCGACGCGTTTCCCGACCCCGCCCCCCGGGGCGTCCCGGGGGGCATCGGTTTCCAGCTCTCCGTCGACGGGCGCATCGATGGGGAGGGGCCGGGGAGGGGCACCTCACCTCCGACGAGCGCGAGGCGAGGGGATGGGAGACGACGAGGCCAACGCAGCTTGCGAGGCTGCCGCGCAGGAGCGGGCAGGTCGGCCGCGTGGCGCCTGCGCGGTTGGCAGCCCGGGCGCGGAGGGAGAGGGGATTCTGGCGGATTTGGGGGCCCCGTGGCCCCGCGGGCCCGGCGCCCCCCCCCTCAACGGGCGGCGACGCCGCCGATGGCCGCGCCGGACAGGCCCGCGGCAGGCGACCGTGCGGGGCGAGCGGCGAGGCGAGGGCCTGCAGCGAGCAGCGCCAAGAGAGCAACAACCCAGCGGCGCGTCAACGCGTCGCGCGACGATCTAGAGTCTAGAGAGCGCCCTCGGGAGTTTCAAACGCGACCTGCTGGGGGCCATCGGCGGGCAGCTGGAAGGCGTCTCGAGCCGCGCCGAGCAGGTCGAGATGAGAAGCGTGGAGGCCCGTGGCGATGCTTCTGCGGGCCCCCCCCCCCGCTCAGGGGTCACTCTTCTGGCCGGGGCCTTCAGCGAGCGCGCCGGCGCCTGCCCCTTCTATCCCGAGCAGATCCCCCTTCCGAAGCTCGCCCGCGGCGCCGCCCGGGACTGCGGCCCAGCACATGGGGGCGTGGCCCGCCCCTGCGCCCCCCCGGACCAGGGCGGTAGAGGAGGCCCTGGCGACGGCGCGGGGGCTGCTCCAGCGGGCCGGCGGGCCCCTTCCCTGGCCCGCGGTTAGCAGGCTGTTTGGGCTCGGGAATTACATTCCTTCCCCGTGTTTGCGGGGGTTGGAGTTGTTTGACCAGTGACTCACGCGACAACCCAGTCGTTGGGCGTTGCCTATGCGCGGTTCGACTGAGGTGGCGAGCGTGCGCCGCGCAACCCTCGGCTTGCGCACATGCGCTGACACGCGCGTCTACATATGTATATGCATACGCACTATACATCATAATTCACCACTTTCTCAGTGCATCTACGTCGCACGCGTGATTTTTATATGCGCGCGCATCTGCGAACAATGCAACAGCTCTAATGCGGAGACATACGCGCCAAACTGTGTGCACATTGTACGGCGTCAGATGCACGCTCGCGCGTTGCATCTGAGCGCGCCTCTGGATTGGCGCGGGTAACGTTCAAACCCGCGCGCGCGCGTGCCTCGAACGTACATGTGTACACGTCTGGCAACGCAAATATATACTTACACGTATATATAATAGTATTCGCAGTGCATGGGTATGCGCATATACACGTGTCAGACCAGGTACATGCGCTGACAATGAGCTCCCGGCCCCGTCCCGCCGTGCGTCTTAGGCTTAAGGAGCCGTCATGGGCGCCGCGATCTCTGGGGTCGCATTCGGGGCGTTTGGCTTCAGGGCGTCGGCCGCGCTGGGATCTCTCAGGGCCGTTTTTGGCTCTACGCTCCAGGGCATCATCTGTCTTGGGGACTCTCAAAGGCTATCTTGGGATCTCTCCTGGGCCGCCCTGGGCCCCCGCGCATCAAACTCCACCTGCGGTGGGCTCCCGGCGCCGTGGGGCGGGCAGTGGGTCCCGTTACGAGCTGGTCAAGTTCGAGGGTCATATGCCGACGCTTCGCGTAGCGTGGCCGAGGATATAACAATGCATATCGCCGCGCGTCCCCAAACGCCGACTTGGGCCTGCGAGGTTCGCGAAGGCTCACGACTCTTGTGCAAGTTATGCGGCTGCTGTGTCGTTGTGTCCTCGGACGCTTGGGCAGTTTTTTCGTTGTGGGCCGTTCGTGTGGTTTTAAACTTAGACATCCTCAGAACGTTATGTGGTGTCTCTGTGTGGTCTTCCGTCTGGTCCCACCGCCATCGTTCTTTCGTTGCGACCGGGGTTGCGACTTCGGACGCTATTGCCGCCCCAGCGCCTTGTTGCCGCCGCGTCGTCGGGGGGCGCTGCTGCGGTGGATGAGTTGGTCGTTGGCCAGGGCGGCATTGGGGCGCTGCGCGGGGGGCGAGAATGCTCGACGCTGATACTTGCGAAAACCGCCCCGATCGTTCCAGATATCAGCGGGAAAGAGAGATCCCGCGACAATCCACAGATCAGCCAACGGTGCATCCTCGACCCCGTCCATGACCGCGCGCGCGCAGCGGCAGAGGGTGATCTTTCGCGGCGGAGGAAGCATAATCGCGGCAGGAAGCTTCGGCTCGCTCCAATGTGCACGTGGATCTCTGAACTTTGAGCGCAGAAGGCGCTGGGGGTCAGCGGGCCTGTTCGATTTGATTGAATGTAATCTCTTGCTTCGTTGCGCGCCGCGCGCCGCGTTCCCGTTGCGATTGCGAGGTCGCGCCCCTTGGAGCCCGAAGCCGATTTCTCGGCGTGGGGTTCCGAGGAGCAAGGAACACACCGCATCCTTGCGGGAATTCGGGCATGCCATTGCCATTTGGGGGGCCCGGCCCTGCCCCCCCGACGAGCGGCGCGCCCGGCAGGCCAGTGGAAGCGCGGGAAGGGGGGCGGGGGGCGGAACGAGGAGAGGGCAGTGGAGCGAACTGAGGGATGAATCCACGCGAGGAAATGCGGGCAGGGGGGCGAGGAGGATGCAGATGAGGATGGCGCGGAGGACCGGGCCGAAATGGGCCGAGTGCGGCAGGGCGGGGGGCAGGGGGGGAAACGAAGTTCGGGGGGGAGCAGCGGCTGGAGGGGGGAGTGAGGGGAGGGGTGGGCGGGGCGCCGGCTGCGCGCGACTAGAGTCAAGTCGTTTGCTTCTTCGCCCCTGAACAATCCAGCGCCCCCCCTCTCGTCGCCCTGCCCCTCCGCGCCCTGGCGCCCAGTCGCCGCGACGAAGAGGGTCTTCAAAGGTCAAGAAACTTTGGGCACGGGGCCCTCGAGGTTCGAGGGTCGACGCGAACTGGACGTCCCCCCCCTTGTCCTTCCCGCCCAGCCCGCGATTAATTTGGGAGGGTGCGCCGCTGGATCTTTCCAAGGGGTGGGGGTTAGGGACCCCCCCCCCCCCTTTCCCCGATCCGTCGTCGGGGCCCCCCCCCCTTCCCCCCTTTCCCCGATCCGTCGTCGGGGACCCCCCCCCCCTCCCCCCCCCCTTCCCCGATCCGTCGTCGGGCCCCCCCCCCCCCCCCCCCTGTTGGCCGCGCCCCCCCCAGCCCCTCCCCCCCTGTCGCCGCGCCGCCCCCTGACTCCGGAAACCGACCCCTGCCGCCTCTACCCTTCGTCCCCACCCTGACCTAAACCCATAATCCTAACCCCAACCACTAACCCCAGCCCCAAAGAGTACTCACTTCTCATTACTCACTACCCACTACTGACTACTCGCTATTCGCAGCTCACTTCTCATTGCCCCTACTCACTACCCACGACTCACTACTCACTATCCACTACTCACTACCCACCACCCACTACTCGCTACTCACTACTCCCTACTCCCTCCTCCCTACTCACTACTCACTCCTCACTACCCACTACTGCATACTCACTACTCACTAAGCACTACTCACTACTCCCTACTCACTACTCACTAATAACTAGTCATTACCCACTATCCACTAATCACTACTAACTGCTCACTAATCACTACTCGTTGCCCACAGATCACTACTCACTGCCCACTACTCGCTACTCGCTACTCCCTACTCCCTACACGATACGGACTACACAGAACTCAGTACTCACTACTTGCTACTCACATACTCGCTACTCAATACTCATTACCCACTCCCCGCTACTCACTATTCACCACTCACTAATTACTTCTCCCTACTCAGTAGTCTCTACATATTCTCTAGTCACTAGTCTCAAATCACTAGTCACTAGTCACTACTCATTACCCACTACCCACTACTCACCAATCGCTACTCACTACGCACTAGTCGCTACCCACTTCTTACTACTTACTGCTCCCTACTCCCTACTCACTACTGACTACTACTCACTACTCGCTACTCCCTACTCGTTACTCATTAATCACTACCCACTACTCACTACTGGCTACTCCCTACTCACTACTCACTACTCACTACGCCCTACTCGCTCCTCACTACCCACTACTCGCTACTCACTACTCGCTACTCACTACTCACTACCCACTGCCACTACCCATTACTTTCTATTCATCACTATTTACTACTCACTACTCACTACGCACTACGTTCTACTCAGTACTCACTACTCACTACTTGCTACTCACAACTCACTACTCGCTACTCACAACTCACTAGCCACTACTTACTACTCACTACTCACTACGCACTACGCACTACCCACTACTCACTACTCACTAATCAGTACTCACTACCCACTACTCACTACCCACTACTCACTACGCACTACTCAGTACTCACTACTCCCTACTCAGTTCTCACTACTCGCTACTCGCTACTCACTACTGTCTACTCACTCTTTGCCACTCACTACTCACTTATCAGTACACACTACTCACTATGCACTACTCACTACTCCCCACTCCCTACTCCCTTCTCCCTACTCGCCACTGACTACCCACAACTCTCTATCCAATACTCGTTACTCCCAACGCACATACTCACTACTCACTACTCACCACTCCCTACTCCCAACTCCGCACTTCCTACACGAGGGGGGGGGGTCCGACCCCCCCCCTCTTTTCCAGCGCCAAGGGGGGGGGGGGTCCGGACCCCCCCCCCTCCCCTTCCCCCTTAATGGGGGAGGGGGTGGGGGAGGGGGTCGGGACCTCCTCCCCCCTTCGAGGGGGGGGGGGGTTCTGGACCCCCTCCCCCCCTTTAGTGTATTCAGGGAGATCCACTGGCGCACTTTCCCCATTTGGACCCGTGGGCGCCGGGGTTATACGCGTACTTCTGCGCGGGCCTACGGGCGCCGAGCACGGGGTCGCGCGGGGAGTTTTTCTTTGCGGAGAGTCACATTCATCTTGTGGTCAGCCGAATGCTGCACATGCAGTTTTGTCCAACATGTTTCATCTTGCATGGGATGTCGGGGCAGCGCGGGCCGCGGCTAATTGAGCAGCCCTCGTCCGTCAGGTGCTCGGCGCGCAGGCGTGCCAGCGCGCCCGTCGAGCGGGCGCGATTCTCAGTTGACTGCGCGGAGGCGCTTCGGAAGCCAGACCTGGACAGGCGCGAGACAAGCGCGCTGCGTGCCAACGCTGCGCGCAAGCAGGACTTCACTCAGGGCAAGGTCGCGCCTCCGACGTCGTTGTTCGAACAGTTTGTGCACTCGATTCCCCGCTGAGTTCTCCCTGGCGTGAAGCTTGCGAGCCGTTGTGGCCTCGGCACCTGGAAGGCGCTGCGGCTCCAGGAATGCTTCGCCGCGGTGCGCCAGCGAAACGTCGGAGATCTTGAGTCAAAGGGCGAGTTTTTTTGCTCTCCACCAAGATGGTTTTAAAGTTTCTCCCCAATCAGAGCTTGCATCTGTAGGGGTCCCAGCGGATTCATGTGGCTATGGTTTGCCGCCGATTTTCGCCGCGCGCCCGGGGGCCCGGGGGCCCGGGGGCACCCGGGTGCCCGGGTGCCCGGGTGCCTGGGTGCCCCGGTGCCCGGGTGCCCGGTGCCTGTGCCCGGGTGCTTGGGTGCCCAGGTGTCCGGGTGCTTGGGTGCCCAGGTGTCCAGGTGCCCAGGTGCCCGGTAGCTTTATATAGTCCTATAGCCCTATAGCCCTGCAGCCCTATAGCCCTAATGGCCCTATAGCCTTATAGCCCTATAGGCTTATAAAGCCCTATAGCCCTATAGTCCTATAGCCCTACAGCCCCATGGCCCTATAGCCCACTAGCCCTATAGCCTTATGGCCCTGCAGCCCTGTAGCCCTATAGTCCCATGTCCTTTTAGCCCTATAGCCTGATAGCCCCATGGCCCTAAAGCCCTAAAAAGATGATGGTTGGGTTTTTTTCTCCGGTATGATTTTGCTCTCCACCAAGGTGGTTCTAGATTATGGCTGCGCGTCTGGTCCGCTTGCTGCAACTGGCGAGCTCGAGGGAACATCCGGTTTTCTATCGCTCGTGGACCTCAGGCGGCGGCAGGGCCACTGGGCGGAGAACATGAAGAGGTCGCCGCGCAGGCTGTGGTCAGCGCTTGCTCCGACTGATCGAGCGAGCTGGGCGCGCGCGCGGCGGCTGAGGTCTGGGAGAGTTCGAGGTCTACGACGCCGACGCGGCTGCTGACGAGCAGCGAGCGGGGGCCCTTCCTGAGGGGTCAGCGTCTCGATGGCCTCCGCGGCAACATTCCATGGAGGTCTTTGGCAACGTGTGCGTGGGGGCCGGGCTGGATCTCGCGGAGGCTCTCGACGGCGCGGGCTCCCTGTGGGCGCGGGGGCAGCCTCGGCAATCTCGTCGGTGGGCGCCTCCGGAGCTCCAGGAGGCCCCCGGCGCGGGGCCTTTTCTCCGAGCGCGTCGTGGACTTGTGCTTGTGGGGCAGGCGTTGGCGCGCGACCGCCACCTCAAGGGGGCTGTGGCCGTTCGTGCCCCTCTGGCAACTCGATGCGTCCGCGGCCACCAGCGCCGCGCCCTGCGGGGCGGTGCCAAGTGCGAGGGCGGCGTCTGGCGGCGCCTGACAGAGGTGGCGGCTAACAGTCAAGCCGGACACGGCCCTTCGGCATATCGCCATGCTCGACAAGTGGGGCCTGTGGCCCCAGAGTCGGGCTGCCCCGCCTCCACCACGTCGCGCGTGACATCGAGCTGCTCAATTCCGCCCTTGTCGCCTACGTGCAGTACCTCCACGACGCGAAGGCGCCAGATTCTCGGGGGTCCGAGACCCTGGTTGGCGTCCAGTTTCGCCGGCCCCTGGCCCGTGGCCAATGGCGCCCAGCCTGGGCCGCGGTGGCTCGCTGGCGCCATTTCGAGCCAGTCGAGATGCGCGCGCCCGCGCCTGCCAAGGTGCTCCCAGCGCTGGCTGTCGCTGCCCGGGCGCAGGGGTGGGCGGAGCGTCAACGTGCCTGCCCCTCGCCTTCCACTCGCTGCTGCGACCCAGCGAGGTCGCGAGTG